CGAACCGAGAAAATGACAGAAGCACAGCTTTAAAGGGAAGATAGGTAAACAGCAGCTGGCTGATGTGTGTTGAAGCTAAACTAAATTTTGTGGCCCTGCAATGAAACGCATTTAATCTTTTGCCATGACTCACAGCAAACGAAATCCACTCATCTAGTTTTTTTATTTTATTTATAAGGTCACTGTTCCTTGTTGTCTTTCACCACCACAAAACCCACTTTAAAGGCATTTTCTGTTTAAAAATGTATCTCTTTCTTCCAGGTTCCAGAAAACAAGTCTCTAACAACTCTGTTTGCACCAGGTTTGTGCTTTGTTTTTGAAAGAGGCTTTTTAACCTCATAGGTTAGTCTCTTTATTAAAAATTACACAGTTTTTTTATTTTTTCCCTACATATTTAGATTCTAACAATAAAATGAACCTTACTTGATAATGATTTGTGAATCTTTTTATGTAGAAAAGTACCACTTCACCATGACTTTATTTGTAATAAACATGCTCATCTATTCTTAAAGAAGATTTTTATATGCAAAACTTTTGGTCTTGATGGAGTTTTATTATTTAACTGTACTGAGATTTACACAAGCAAAGTAGATATTGACAGCTGTTTAACGATGCAATAAGCAAAACCTGTATTTCACCATGACTTCTTGAATTTAGAAAGACAAATTTGGTAAGATATCAATTCCACCTTTATCAAACCTTTAATTTGAAGATTTATATTTTTCCTTCTGACTTAATTGTTCTATTTACTGTCAAAATTATTTCTTATAAAATCATCAAATATAATGTTATTGGGAAAATGCAACATAAAGAAATAAAAATGTAAGATTTCAGGGTTATTATGACACAGAATCCATGTGAAAAAGCTTCCACCACTGAGCAGTTGCCAGTTATAGGAGCTCAGACCATATCGTTGTTTTTCAGTCATCATCAATAATGTAGCTCCATTTACACTGTGGCTTTTCTACCAAGGCTGCCCACTGAGAAGGGATTGTCTTTTTCCATCAGCTTTTCAGCCCAAAAATGTGAGAACACCATACATGGACGTGTGTGCATTAACGTGTTTGTGTGTGCTGGGAAATGCTGGATGAGGGAAGATCTTTTGTTACTCTGAACTCAGAGGTCAAGCATGACTCACAAGATAAGTGCTGCTGAGCACTGGATTTGGAAGTGAGAGGGGGTGAGAACTGAAGGTAAGTAGTGAATAAAAGATTAGAAAGACCTTGTGATGCATGCGAAGGAAGGCATGTGCTCTTTTTTGGTGTTTCTGAGTGTTTACTAAACTGAAAAAGTAATTAAAAATTTCAAAATAAATTAATCATAGACTTACTTTTAGTCAAACTGCAAATAACAGTTTGGCTCTCATCATTGCCGTTTATTTCTTTTAATAACCTTTACCAAGTCTTTGATTTGAACAAACAAAAGCAAGGCATCAGGGCAATGCCTATTATGGAGCGTTGGTGAACATTCAAGATTCCTTATTTCCCCTGGCTTTCATTACAGAGCCAATCATCTTTGCTATGGTTGCCTGATTTTACCATTATCAAGCAACAGTTCTCATCTAGGAACTCATCAAAGAGGTTAAAAAACAAATCTACTTTTGTTATTGGGCGAAAACAGTCCTGAAATGCACCAGCAGGTATGTTTGTGATTGAATCATTTCAATGGAAAAAGCACCTTCTACTGGGCACATGGTGGAATAGCAACACGGCGAGTGAAGGTTTACAAATGAACTCTGTGCAAAGGTGCTGGAAGCGAAACATCTAACACACATGCAGAGGGCTGAATGACAAATCAGTGGCATTTGCTTGTCTTCTGTACAAATATATATTTACTGTATTTAATCGGATGTTTACTAGAGTCTAAGGTCCGAGAAGAAAAAAGGTTTTCGATATTTTCTCATTTGTTCCAGTAAAAGTGTTCATTCTATTGATTTCTGTATCCGGTTATGTTCATTAAACTGTAAAGGCTCTGTCAAGCAGAAGGGTACACCCCCCCCTTTATACCCATTGAGCTATAGTTAGGTCAGTACATTTAAAAAAGGTTAGGAATCTTTAGGCATACAAAGTAGCATGCACAGTCTGAGTTAGAAAAAGAAGCTCATATCAGCAGAAAGTTGTTTAAAAACACGGTATGTGAAGAAATGTCCTGTACTTTGACAGTTTTATTTGCCCCGCTCAGAGACCTAATTACTTCTCATCACCATGTACAGAAGTCCGCGCTCAGATAGGAATCATGAGCAATCAGATTTTTTTATTTTATTCACAGCTTGTTCAAGCATTTACTTCAAATGGTTGATCATAATGTGCTGGTACTTGATTAATACAGTACACGCAATTTTAAAGAGGCCAATTGGAAATGTATATATCAATCGTATACAATCATCCCAGTGAGAGCGGAGGATGAGTTTCCATCTCCTTTGACTGACCTTAATAGTGTGTGCTTTGGAGAGTCACTGGCTGTACTCACAAATGAAGCGACTATGTGTCTTCCACTGGCAGGGGAGTGAACACAATGTTATTAGATAACGTTGGCTGACACTCTAAGTGTGCGTTTAATCCCACAGAAGCATCCGAGGATGATAGGGGTTTGTGGCACTGCGTGTTTCTGGCTGGGCAAGAGCTCACAAAACAGACAAAAGATTTTAACAAAGGTCAGCGGACACAGCCCCCAGCCCTCATGTGTCTGTCATCTCCACAGCCACACGCACGCCACGCATGGAGGACGCCAATTTGGTTACGCATATTTGTCTGAGCAGAGTTCTGTGGAATCAGTGGCAATGGATGTTTTTCCTTATTTTGGCATGGTATGATTGGGTTTCCACACAAGTTAAATGAATAAGAGAAAATGTATTTAACCTGTTCATTTGTTTGTGAAGGAGAATGATATATCTTACTTTAAGCGTTTGGTGTGGCCCCATTGTGCAGCAACTGAATGTTCACACTAACTTCAGTCATCCACATAAGCTGGGAGGAATTTCAGCTCATTACTCCTTAGAGAACGGCCTCAACTCTAACATGCTAGCAGCTCTCCTCACACAAACATTTCCCTTCAGGTCTTTTCATAACATCTCTTTTTGATTAAAGTCGGGATTGACATGGCTATTTCAGAAGAATAACTCAGCTCTTTTTTCCGCCATTCTTTACTCAAAAGGCTTTTGTGCTTTTAGGGTTATTGCGATGCTGCATGACCCACTTTCTGTTGATATTGAAATGTCTTTTGTGCTGTGTGCTCAAATGCGTCTTTTGATATTTGTTGGCATTTTTCAGAAAACTTTGCTTCTTAGATCCTGCAGCATCCATGTTTCCAAGATAAGGTAGGTCATTATTCCGATATTGATATATTTTCCCTCTTACACATCATGTTTCTTATTCATACTTAAGTTTTCTTCCGGTTTTCTCCTCAGTGACCTTATCCTTGTAGTTATGATGTGCATCTCCTTGTTCAGCAATCACCCTGATGAGCCTTTAAACATCACATTGCCCAATGAAAGGTCTTTATCTTCTTAAGTAGAATTCATGGTAGCACATTTGAGCCTCTCTGTGGTGCTCTTACCCCCCATGAAGTAAAGGATAGTAGGTATTCAGCTAATGTGGTCCTCTTATAACTTAACCATGCATGAGTCTGGGTGTAAGGTCAAATGTTGATGGCTTTAAAATTATTGGGAGGGATGGGAGACGACCACAGCATATTTCATAAAATGAAGAAAAACATCAAAAACATTAGGAAGCCTCTGGAGTAAAAAGCACCAGCAATGGCAGCACTTCACAGTCTTTTTAACGCCTCACTTTTCAACTCACGTGTTTTGCTCCACAAACAACTGTAATCACTGCAGCACCAAAGTTGAAGAACCTCCATTTGCACAACAACTAAAGAAGTGGATATTGCTCAAAAAAATAAAAAAGATTCTTTGAAGGTGTCGTTTGCATTCTTTTTTCAGCCTAATGAGCATCAGCATTTATTTTTCTGACATCCTCTTGCTTTTGTTAATGCCATGCAGCGCTTTAACAAACACAAATATCAGTCACACAGCCAAGACTATGGCACATCCCTAAATAAAACAAGACACTGACATTTGATTGTTATCCAGCCAGAAAACAATTCATTCTCATTTTATACTCACTTGGCACAAAAGGTCGATAAATGTTAGGTTCACCATTCAGTGGTCAAAGTATCAGACTGTTTGCTATTCAAAATAGTAATATAGATTTATATGTGTGTCCCTTACGGCCAGTACATCGAAAAACCTTCATTTAAATACTAATAATAGAGGCCCTGCTGTTACTGTGTTTACACTGTACTGTGTGTGGCCTTTTCAAAACAGCACACCTTTCAGTTCATTTCCACTTACTGTGCAAACAGACAATGGTAGCTAGCTTAATATGCTACCATTGTAGTGATGATGTTTTTTTTTGGGGGGGGTGTTGTAACTTTTTCATGCCTTCACTCTTTTTTGCTGCAGTTTATTTATGTGCCAACACAGGTAATGTCATCATTTAAGAGAGATATTTCAAGGAGCAGCTCTAATGATATGTGATGATGAAAAACATTTTCAACTTCTGTGGCCCTGCTGGATTTGTCAGTGCCTCAGTTATATTTTTAAGAATCCTTTAAGGAGTCACAGGCTGCCCAGAACTGCAGGGGCTGAATACTAGTCATATTTCCAAGGTTTCAGCAGACACAGATTAGGTTTGGTAGAAAAAGAAGGTTCTGTGGGATAGGGCACTAGTACAAGTTTATCCAGGCTTTAGAAATTATTTAACCTGAATTGAATTATTGGGCATTGTCAGACCAATCGTACACTGCCATGGCAATAAAAAAAACGTTCCCTTTTGAATTAGACACTGATCAGAAGACTCATTTAATACCAAAAGGAAAGTATTTGCAAGTCGTCTTTAACTTAAATAAATGGTCGTGTGGATGAATTGTTGAAGAAATGCAGCAGATTAGATATAGTCATTCACCTAAACTTTACACAGGGTTAGGGTTACCTACTTACCTTCCACACAGGATGGTCTGGCCCTTGTGGTGCCAGCGACCTGCCCTGGGAAACAGGAACACTTGACGGTCTGAGAACGCTCCTCAATCTTATTCTTATTGCAGCATCGATGGATGGCCACCACCTCACAGGTACCCTGCTTCACCTGGTATGATACTGTGGGAGACAGAGGAAAAGAGGAAAACCATTTTTGCTACAAATTCACTACCTTTGAAATCAATGTTATCTCCGTGCTGTTGACTTGCAAATAATCAAATGTTTAATTCAAAGACTTTTAAGCTGCAAAAAACAAATGCACAGCGGTTTCTGAGGATTAAACAGTTAAGCTAAAATATTTATATTTGTTTTACTCCTCAATTTATTCAAATCTTTGATTAATAAAAAAAAACACACATTTATTGCCTTTTTATCTAAGCCCTCATTAACTTTCCCTCAGAGGTAAAATCTCTTTGTGCAATCCTGTGCAGAAGGAAACAACAAGACTTATTGAATACAATAACAATGTTTAATGTTATTAAAGGAGAACACTGAAGAGAGTATGCAGGTGTATTGTAATGAAGCTACGCTCCACTAAGATACACTTAAATGTTTGTGGATCTTGGCCAGAATCTATTACTGGTGAGTTTCTATTTGCATTTGGGTTCCTTATGCATCCATGCCTGTGTGTGCTTTGGCTTCTCTAAATATGTGTGTACATTTTTTGTGTGTTCCTGAAGAGTCATTATTTATATAGGGATAATTGTGTTTTACCTCCAACAAAAACAATGTCTAATCTCTCTTGATTACACTCACGTGTCCCCTGGGTCCTCGGTCAGGCTAATTATAACATTACCCTGACAGTAATGGGGCAGAAGGCAACGCTGAATTCAGGGCAAATCTGAGCCAAAGTTTTCTACCTTGTGGGCAAATCTGTCTTTCATTGTGCATAATAGTGCTGTTACAGTATTTTCAGATTTTTTTTTTTTGTTTCATTAAATTGTTTCGAATGGGGAACTGGCACTCCTTCTGCAAGAACTGAATTTGTTAAGGCAAAGTAGCAGTCCATACACCGTCCTCCCAAAGAAAACAGTACAGTTACACTCATATGTCACTGCTTAAACTCTACCGTCAGCTGCTAGGGTAATGTTTAGAGCTATATCATCTGTGTTAAGGTTATATTCCATTCAGACCATTCATCCCATGAACCCCCCTGGGAGAAGGCGATGTGTGTCCGCCACACGCGCCAATTGTTGGGTGAAATGTTTAGTGGGTCTTTGCTTATGGCTTCTGAATCAATTCCAGCTGTCTTATCATCCCTCTCAAAGCTTGTTGTTGCCGTTGAGAGTCTCTGGCACTGTTTCCAGAGCACAGCAAACCCCGCCAGTGACATTACCAGCTACCTCTAAGCCTCTTTACACCTTGGAAAAAAACCTTGGTTACACTGTACCATAAGCCCAGATTTCGTTTACGTACGTGACTTTAGCCGGACTCTGAAACTTTTCACGCTTAGCCGAATGAGCTTTGCAGACGGACACAAAAATGTGTCCAGGCACACAAACACACCGCACAAACAGCACGCACACACTCGGTAGAGAGGGTTCCATTTCTGCAGGCCATGGCCCCTCTCATCCTTTCTGATTTAAAGTTTGTTTGTTCTTCTCTCCAGAGAGCCCCATCAATGATCCCTGGCTCTCTGAGGGCGACCCTCCACTATCATCCCTCCACTTTCATTTCCCTCACTCCTTTGTCTCAGGCTCTCCCGAGGCTGGAGCAGCTGCCAGATTACCCCACAGTCCCCTAACGCACACACTCACAAACACACAAAATCTACTAATAATAACCAATAATTATAAAAATGAAAAAAGAATGTACCTTAATGGGGCAACAAGTATCAGCTATAATTGCAACAGTAACAGTTACCATTAAAGCACAGAGTAACAGTGTAGAACATTATTGTCAAAATCAAGACCAATAACCATCCTTTTTTTTATCCCTCGTTATAACTACTTTACAATTAATTGATTCTGTTGCAATTACAGGACTATAACCAGTAAAGAGTATTAAATCAGCTGACCATATCTAAGCTTGTTAGTATAAAAATGAAGGTGGAGTCAACTAGGTGCAGGAAAAGTGGTGTCACAGCAGAGACAAAGAACAAAGAGCAAAGAGCTCATCTTTGGCTGGCATAATGAGGTCAGAGGGTGCACTAGAATCCCGTCCTTACTGCCTGCCTCAGAACTGGGCAGAAGCTGTTTGTATTTTCAAAGCATAAAGCCTTCGTGGATGTGTGTGAGCAGCGGCTGATAAAGGCACCGACATTTCATCAATGCATCTTTTATTCTGCATCTGCCCATGGTTTGTATCCCCAATTCAAATCAAAACAAAAGCAAAAATTCATGCAAATTAGAGAAAATTTGGGCAGGTGTAAGATATGAGAACAGTCCATGTGCTCCACTGAGAGGGATTGCTGTTATCTAATGGAGAAAGTGAGCCAAAGCCCCCACCGGGTTTCCTCTCATGGTGTACACAGGGCGCTTAATGGAAAGAAAAGAAAGAGCCCAAGGAGCTCTCCAAGGAAACACTTTAAAAAGGTTGTCTATCACTGGTTCAAAAAGACCAAAAAATATTTCACCCTCATCAGATGCCAATGAACCATTATCAGGAAAACTGCAACACACACCGCATTCCGGAAGAAATCAGACATTTAATACACACTGTATATTAAAGATTTGTTTAACGACTTAGTTAAACTTAGTTAATTTGGTCCTTGAATTTACTACAACAAAATGTAGATGATGATGGCTACACACAATATAAATATAGCTATATATATTAATATACATATACGTGTATATGGCAGGAAAACGTTTAGGGAAAATCTCATAAAAGGATACGATTTAGTCAGCACATGCATTAATTTTATGCACTATAAGCCTGTAAGCATTAGACCTCTTTGGTTAGTACTCTGAGTTTTATCCTTGAGTGTCCCAAGTGTTTAATCAGACGATGGAATCAGAAGGTGGAATACCAGACAGAATTTGCAGTCAAAATCTATTCTATTCAGTTCTATTCAGTTTAGTTCAGCACCCACTCCAACAGTCTAAAAAAGGTGTAAGGCAGTTTTTTACAATGATATCAAATGTTCCCAATTTTGCCTTGAGGGAGAGTTATAATACACATGCTGTAAGTCTATGTGGTGCTTCTGATGAGCTATGATAAACAAAACTGTTTCACTTTTGGTGTAATTAGACTGAGAGCTCTCCTGTCTATTTTTCCGTGGTGTTTTGAGCTGAATACTGCATCAACATGCTAACAAGGGTATATTGATGTGAAACTGCACAAACACACTGGCCTGAGAAGACAGAAGGTCCAGCCCACAACAGTTTAGTTCTTAAGTTGGACCTAACTTCCACTTTCATCTTAACCTTACTGTCACAGTTAAAATTAAATTGTGGCACTGTTTTCAAATCAGATTCCTTTGTTTCATTTACAACTGTTAGACATAAAAGTTCATATCAAATGCAATTTCAGGGTAGATTTTCTGAGGACGTCCGCGGAATAAAACTGGATCACAATCGAGAAGTATGAATTGCAATAAAGTATAAAGTGCAATTAGGTGCCAAACATGGGAAAGTACTGAAATGGAACAGTGATCTCTCTTTCAGTCCTTGCTCTCCGTAACCCTGCCTCTCACCCCTCATGTAATAAAGATTCATGCGGTTAGCAGTCAGCTTCCATCCGCAGACATAAAAAATAACAATGTGTTTAATGTCTTACTGTTGCCTTTAAAGCACTCTGTTTTGACGATCTCGGTGTAATATAGAGCCCAAAATGCTGATGAAAAGACCTCTTAAGCATGGCTAAAAGCTTCTACTCCTACAGCAGGGATTGGGGGAAGGTTGGAGCATTCGAGCTACTCCCCATTTAAACCATGGGCAGTTTCAGTTCAAGATACATGTTAACGTCAAAGAAGACCATATAAGACCTCATCACTGAGGTCAAAAGTGAGTTACTGACCCTGCAGCCCATTTAATGATTGGAGCAGGTGGGTTTACCAACCTATTGCCAGTAACAAATCAAAATGTGAATGGCCTAGAAATGAGAGTAAAGGCTGTGCTGTAAGTTCTGGGATGTTTATACCTAAGGCTACCGTCTCTTGCTAAAGATTAGACATCAATTCCTTTTTTAACTCCACTGTAAGTGGCCTCTCTCCCTGATGGATGGTTCATTCTTGATCTGCAGGGTAAGATCTCCTGTACTGTGTCATCAGCGTATGTTGTGGTTGATTAGTTTCCCCAATAAAAATGAACATAACCATAAAGAGAATCAACATCAACAAACTGTACTGTACACTCCCATCTTTTTGTTCCAACAAGTCTCCTCGTGTTTTTTCCATTTTCCCTGTCCTCTTCAATAACGCTGTTATTTCCTTTCCCTGTTCCATCTCCCCTCACATTGGCCCAGCACAACTCATCCATCCTCCTGACAGTATCAGGGTATGACAAGCCCACATTAGATCTCACCCTGATTTGTGTTAATTATCACCACAGGTTGCTGGTCCAGCTGAGTGTTTCTGTGCTAAAAATCCCCCCCAACCCTACCCCACCCCACCCCACCCCACCCCGCCACAATATCTGCTCACTTGACCTTGTAGGCTATGTATGTACTTCTTACAAACACATGTAGGAAGGGACATGAACTGGGAGTAGATGGACACACAGATGGGGTGCCAATTTGCGGCGAGCCTGGATGTGTTAAGTATGCACAAATATGACAGATACATTTGAAATACAGATGGAGCTACATATGTGGTTTCACACTTGAACCGAGTGGGCACAGGAGGCCCCACCAGCACTCCATTCCATTGTAGGCTGGGATAGGAAGAAAAAAGTCAATCAAATTTCAAGTAATCTCATTTCAAAGCATTCACACAAGAGAAAGGGCATGTGGGAATATGAATCCCAGATGTTTCATTGTCAGGAAACGGGAATAATGAGGCAGAGTTTTAAGAACCCACTCCATTTAAAATAAAAAACTCAAAGAGAGTGTCATGTTTAAATATTCACAACAATACTGCACAGCTGTTAGTGTTGAAAATAGTTTTAAAAGATTGAACAGTCTCCTGGCTGACGTTCCTATCAGTTCCCCTAAGAACTTTGTGAAAGAAGGAAAAACCATGTGACCAGCAGAAAAACGTTTATGTGCATTAATTGATCGATTTGTGCTCAGCGTCTCAGTCTGCAGATGGTGTGATCTCAGCAGCTCGGACCAAAATGTTGGACCCAAAAAAACAGCTCAGTGGTAGAGCATTTGACTGCAGATCAAGAGGTCCCCAGCTCAACTTTTGGTGCTCCCCCCTACTTAGTAAGTTGCTCCGGATAAAAGCTTTTGCTAAATGCACAAACACTAACATCCATCCATTAACACGCCGGGTTATTTTGGGCCACACGGCTATTAAGTTTTTGTTACATGGCATTTTGTTTCAAAAGGCAACACAGATCAAATTAGATTAGTATGAAGAAAAAAGTACCAAGAGGAATTAGTGTATCCATGAGTGATAATAGACAACGGATGGATATATTAAGCAAGGGGGCTGAGGGGGATCCTTAAAACTATGGCGTAGCATTTTTTGACCTACAGAGCCACCATGTGGCAACTAAAGGTACACCACCGGCATAGGTTAAACCTGTCTCACTGCCCACAAAACAACGGTAAACGCGCTTAATAAGAAACCACTGAAACCACATCTGGCAGCCATAACAAACACCCAATTATTTTTCACCCTCAAACTTCAATCTGTGCTGGGCGTACTGACATTCACATTTGACGGGTCTTACACATCCACCAATTAGAGTGAGACATCAAAACGAGGCTGTAACCGGTTTGGGATTGAGATGTCTTGTTTCACATCACGAGCGAAATGAGAAGGGGGGGCAGACACGCACGCTGACCTTCACAATCCATGGGGCCTGCAATTAGTAGTGTCCCCGCCGTAAGCAGGCGGGCTTCTTTCTGTTAAAAGCAAACTAATATCATCACTCATTGAACAGGCTGGATGGTGGCAGCGTTTTCTGTGGCTCGTAAAGGTCACCCCAGCAAAACACGGGCAGAGTGGAGAAACTGGGAGATAATTAACGAAACTGTCGTAATTAACTGCGAGGACGAGGTGACACCGGAGGTTCCCGCCAACAAGCCGACGCGCAAGATGCTGTGACTCAGCACAGCTGTCCATGTTGCCGTTTTTAATTAATATTAATAATCCTGAGTTGCTCATTTCAGCCCTAACGTGCGGTTGGTTTCCACAACTCAAAAAAAGGAAAGACCGGAAATAAATCTAGCTTCGCAGGTCTGAATTAAGCCATGGCTGGCAATGGTTTCTTTCTTCGTGGATTTCCTCTGAGGAATAAGTGATGCGGGGCTTTGGTCAGAAAGGGGCTTCAGGGCTATGCATATTAACGTAGGCACTGGCGATTAAAAGTCTGAGGATTAGAAGTCATGAGTCCATGGCTTCTTCTACATGAGGGACGGAGCTTATTTCGAAGAGGCACTAAACCACTAAGAGGCCGGCCGCTTGATAGGAGCATTGACTCTGAGATGTTGGACGCGTGCACCATGAATAGATCAGATCACACCCACACGGATCCATTTGTGTTGACAGGTCCTGACAGCGTAAGTGCAATCGGTATCTGAATGGTCTGGATCACTCAGGCAGAGGTGTGTCTGCGTCCAGGCCCCAAAACGGGGTCTTGTCTACATTACATTCTGTCATACGGAGCACATTGTAATCCCACAGCTCCCCTCTTTCAGGATGGAGACGGTTCAGTCAGCGTCAGGCTCAGGGAGCATGTGTTCTACTTCTGAGGGGGACAGTGTAATTAACCTCTCGTGGTGTTGGTAGTGCGGTTGGGAGCGAGACCCGGTGTACCTGTGGGTCCCCGGTGATTACGGTTGCCAGCAGACACTGGGTCAACCCAGAGCATCACCAAGGCAACAAGGAAGGCCACCTGCCAAGGCCAAGCTGACCTTCCCCTCGGTTTCATCCTAAGGGAGTGAAAGAGGGGGGCAAAGGGGAAGAAAAATAGAAGAAGTGGTGGAAGAGGGTATGGGAAAAGGTTAGGGAGCAATAACAAAGACATACAGCTTTTAGAGCAAACAGAAACAATGTGAGAGGTAAACTGGCAAAGGTTAAAAGAAAAGAGAACAAACTAGAGTTGTAGAAAAGGATTTTTCAGTACACATTGTCATCCTATTGTAATCAGATTCCATCTCAGCTGTGGGAGTTACATTTTTTTCATTCTTTGTATCACATTAAGATTAACTCTACCCAAATTCTTTCAGCAGCAACTTAAAAATGAGCTGAGTTTATGAGTCATGACAATTTGCACTGGCAGTAAGACAGCTCAGCACAGAATTGATACCATATGATTATGGATTACCACTAATCCATCCATTTATTCAGTTTCTTTTCTTTACCTGCTTCACAATGCGTTGACTTGTGGGTGGAACGCTTTCTTAATCAACAGAAAAACTTTCATCTGAAGTTTTTTTTTTTTACTTGTGTAATCATCTGAGTTTTGTTTAAATGGCAAATTTTAAGTGGCCATACCAAAGTACTGCTTTTTTTTAAAACTGTAGATGAATTACATTTTCTACCTAAACTCACAGATTAACTGTATTGATGTTGATTTAAATGTCCAATTCTTAATTACATAAATCCCACGTCTTAGAGATCTGGGCCTTTAGGTTTCTAGCAGGACCACCAAAGCCAAGTCCAGCCACTGGACATCTAGAACTAGATCTATAACTTGAGTTGTATTAGTGTATTGTTCTATAAACAGATAAACAAGAGAAACATGTAATTAGTAAAAAAAAAAAAAAAAACTAAGAAGATGTACAGAGATTAAGCATTATTTGCATTTGGTCATGACATGATCTCACCTGTTGGTCTTCTCTGTCTTCTCTGGAGTCTTTTCCTCACAAATAGGCCATAGCTGCATTCACTCACGCCTCAAATCTCCTGCTCCTCTTCTCCTCTTCCTCACCTCAAACAGATCAAGCCTCTGGGGAGAAGAGGTATAAAGACACTCTGTCAGAGAGGCCAGTCTGCCCGAGGGTTCTTCGGTGGCCTTCTGTGGCCTTATATGAAGGTCTCGTTACACACACACAAACCACACACGCGTGTCTGCACGCACACGCATGCAGACACACACGCTTGCAGATGTGAAGGCCTACATTCTGTCAGATCCATTGTTTACAATGGGCTCACCTACCCCGAGGCTGAATGTGATCCCAACTCTCGACATCACACACTGCTCCCTCTCCCATGCAAACACACACACACACACACACACGTGCGCAGAGACGGACACACAAAACACTGTGCACACCAGGATAAAAACTCCACTGATTTCAAAATGAGTGTACATAAAAAGAAATCTGCAGAGTTGCCTATTAGCTAAAACATTTAGCAGCTGATCAAACAAGCCATAAAAACAAGCTGAGATCCAACACACACTGGCTCCTGTATTGAATATGCACAGTATTTGCAAGGTAAATTCAAAGCCTATCAGAAACCAGCAGGAGAAACTCTTCCTAATTACAGCTGAGGGACATCTTCTGATGCATGTGCACCTCTACACACAGTCACACATACACACACACTAACACTCACAAAGTAAATTACCATCCTCCTGTAATAGCGTGTCAACACACTTCTCTTTACAAAGGGACTAACTCTGCAGTCTAAATGAAAGTCAACAGATTCACATTAATATCATAATGTTTTCCCCTCCTCAAACCTTCTTTATTCATCATAACTCATTCGTATTCAGCTCAGTCCGTTAATGTGGCTGGAAACTTCCAGGGAAAGGTGTGAACTGGGACCAAGACTAAAGGCCCTTCAGTCATCCGTGAGGAGCCACTGCCCCCTACTGGGGAAAAGGCCAACGCCATCCTCCACGAATCTGCTCCAGCCCAAGAGTGGGACTTAAGGGACCGACGCAAAGAAGGTGAGATGACGTTAATGGGTTCTGTTTGTGACTGTCGAAAGCGAAAATAACCTCTAAAAGCAACAGCAAAAAAGGTCAGTCGGAGAGAGGAAGAATCTTCCACAAAGACTGGGGTGTTCAGGCCAGATTATTTTAGCATCGGTGTGGAAATCTAAAAGGTACAAAGTATGGGCTGTTTAGATGTTTAAAGGCTTCTCTCTTAACACCTCTGCAGGGGACTTGGAACACAAATTTGAGAGATTGTACATTGAATATTCATGTGTTTGTATGTTTTAGATGGCCCTTTTGTGTTTTCAGGTTTCAGGTTTTAATGTGCAAATTTACAATTTGTGGATTAGAGGATTTTTTTTGGTTCACTTATAGTAAATGAGAGTATGCAAGGTGCTGAGCGAAGCGATCAGGCGTGCTGCTTATCTGCATACACGCCCATTTCTTATTCCCTTTTAAAAGGCTCAGCCATGTTATGCATTTTTATCAGCTTTGTTCTTAGATACACTCATTAACAGTTGGGCGCGTGAGTGTCCATACGCGTGTGTGTGTGTGTCTGTGTGTGTGTTTGTGGTTGGGTGCCCCTAGATATAGCTCATACGAGCTCCGAGGGGGGGAAAAAAAAAACGTCCCATCATTCAGAACAGCGTTGTCACCTCAACTGAGTCTCACAAATACCAAAGGATGCAAACTTACGAAAAAAAAGTGACGCATTCGTGGAAAACGAAAATACAAAACAGTCTTTGTTCATTTTCAGGGAGAGACACGATAGCATAAACAAAAACATGTTTGTATTCAAAATGATGACTCACACGCTAACAAACGCATGCATGCCACGTTAGCAAACCGAGCACAGACATGCTTGTGATTATCTTAGGACACCAAGTCGCACCTCTTCTAAAATTATCCCTCCTTCGACACCACCCTCTCCATCTCCTCTCACTCTGTGTCTCTGAGGGCTGATGGGCTGAGCCGTGTCATCTCCGGCAGTAATCTACCACCACTGACAAGCAGGTGGATTGACATGCATCGAGGCAATCCCACCTCCAGCACAAATATATATCTGTGTGCCCCGCATGGGAGCAGCATCATCTGCCGGCCCTCCACGAGGAGGATTTGTTAAATCACTCCTCTGCATACAATCCCTGACCTCATCTGCGAGGGACGGGCCCACTCGGCATGTGAAACGAAACACTTCCAGCATGGCGAGGCTGTCGCTGGCCCTGTGCTGCGTGTCACTCACAGAGATCACAGCACTCGTCAGGGCAGGACAGGAAGTTCCTTTTCAGCAGGACTGGGGGAAATAGGAAACGGGCCATTGTTTGATAACCTCAGTGTCATCTGTTGTTAGGCTTTTATGAATACAAGTCCTACGGCAAAAAAAAAGACAAAAAAGATGAAAAAAAGAATGAGATTTGAATCTGATAAAGTCTCTCTCTCAGAACGTTTGGCAAGATGATTTTCTACCACTTTTTTTTCTTCTTGTTTTCTTTGTTCGTGTCCACAGGTTAGGTTTCCCCCACATGAAGTTGATCATTTAAACAAACCGTACCACCCAGCTGTAACTGTAAAAACCAAATTAAAGACAATGCAATTAAATGACCAAGTTTGTCCCCATTGTTGTGCTTCATACAGTATTTTCATTGTCCAACTCCAGTACAAAATCAGATTTGTAAAAAAAAGAAACAGCCCCTGCTGTTTGCCAGTCTAGCTCTATGGGAGGCATATCACCCAGTGGTCTTTTTTTTTTATTTCATTCGTTTAACATCCCAGTTAATTCTGCAAAGATAACATTTTAAACACGAGCGCATCCACATATCCATAACATGGTGGGTGGTAAAATCTAAACCTAACCACCTTTTTTGTTTCTCACACCGGAAGGTTCCCTCGTTCTTTATTGATCCATGTTTGGCAACTTTCAGTGTTAATTCTGCTCAACTAACTTACAGGTTTATACAGCAGTTTTCAAATCCCTGAAATCCCCTTTTTTAGCCATATTCCTGATATAATTTTCTGTGCTGAACGTGACTGGTTTTTATTTGGAATTTTAAAACGCTGAATGAAGTGGAATAAATCAAACGTAGTGAAAAAGAAAATGCGTAGTTCTCACGGCCTTTGCTTCAACAGGGGGGGGGGGAAATGAAAGGCAATGAGCCTGAAGACCCCACAAGCATCACACCAGTATCTCACTATGCTGATTTTCTCTGCCCAGACGTAGACCGAGCAGATAAAAAGCATATCAGTGTAAAACAAAGTGCCTCTCCCCAAGGCGGAAAGATATTGAAAATGAAACGGACAAAAGCACAAAGCCCAGTGGAATCTCATGTGAAGCGTTTCAGATTTCTGCCGATATGCGCGGTATGAGGCTTCAGTCGGGGAGCGTAATGCGCTGCTCTCAGTGCTAAACCGTGTCGGCGTGTTGCTGCTCGCCGTTTCTTTTGGGTCGTTGGGCAGGTGGAAGTGGTGTGTGCACTTAAACAAATGCCCCAAATTACACAGACATGCTTTGCCACCTTGGACACTCCAGTACACTAAGACTCTTTACACTGTCTGCTCTGTTAACTCTTTTTCTGCTTCCTTGGTTGCTCCTTTGTACGTCGCCCATTATTTCTCTCTGCACTCCTCTATACAACTTTGCTCCATGTGTGTCTCCACACCTCACTCTGACCTAGTGCAAATAAAGATCTGCGGTCTCTCAAACTATATTTTGCTGTTTGCTGTTACAAATTCAATACACCAAGCTGTGAAATCTGTTCATGTGAACGCCGTGTGCCATGCAACATTAAAAATGGAAAAACATAATGAGCCGCCCATGTTTTTTGGCAAATAATTCCTATAGATATTCCCATGATGAACAGACAAGAAGGCTTTTTGGTTGAACCGTAAAACTCTGGGTCTGTTTCCCCTCTAACAAGTAAAGAAGTTAAATATGCTGTGTGCTGAAAGGGGCAAGCAAACAATGTTTATTCCAAGTGGGGAGAAAGAAAGGAAAGAAAGTTGTGAGTGAAAGTCTGGATTCAGGACCATTACCTGGCCGTGGTATTGACTGTGGAGTTCAGAGAATGGCCTTGGCACTAAGGTACCATTACAGCTCAATTGATCTGCCTGCACTTAAGTCTAAATCCCACCTTGTTGCACAA